CATTGCAGGAATTTAGAGAACTGAAGGAAGCAACAATCAGAATGTGGAGTCAAGCATTTTAAATTCCCGTTCACGTGTTTCTGAATGCCTCAAAGTTACTTACTACCTCAGAAAAACTTCTTTAAAAAAACCCCACACCTTTGCTTCTCTAAACACAGCAACGCTAAAGAGCAGTGAGTGCCTCTACCTGAATCTAAACCAGAGTGAGCGAGGGCTCCTTTTGTCAGTCTGCCAACTGTTTGCTCTCTGACTTTCTTGGCCAAATCACAGCACATCTCACACAGACTACTGTGAGGTCTTTGGCAATGCACTTTGCCTTTGCTTGTCATCTACACAACAGGGACAATATCGGCTCCTTCCTCTTCATTTTTCTTCGTTAACAGCTTTAGAAAAGGAATGGCCTCTTCTTGTAAGTAACTGCACTGTCCAACAAGATCAGAACCTTTCACAGTTACAGTGGCAGACAGCATTAGCTGCATTCAAAGCAGATCAATGCTCACGCTTTCAGGACAATTACTTTTCTCCCTGGATTCCACAGGGGCAGAGCTAAGAAAAAGAACTTGGCTTTGAAGAACAGCTTCTAGGTTTTTTTTGTTTGTCTGTTTTACTAACACTTGAACAATTTTGACTTCAAACTTCTTCTCTCCTTCCATTCCTTATTTAAATTAATTCAAAAATGGACAGAAAAATCTCACCTTCTTATAGCTTGATTTCTTTATGTCCAGTTGCTGTCCAGCAGGGCTATAAATGGATTTTTTAAAAGTTTTTTAGTTATAAGTCACCCTTTATTTCTTCTTAAATCTTGCTACTTATGCTAGAAGTTTCTTAACACAAATCACAGAGAGAAAGAATTACTTCAACTAATACACAGAATATGATGAGTGAAATTAGTGCTGATGTTCCTGTGGGTAGGCAAACAGCCATTTAAGTGACTAAGCAATCTTGAAACAAATGTCAGCCAACTCAAGTTAGCTACCAAGTGCATATCCTGGTCTAGACAATCCTTATATCTAAGCACTAGATGTAAGAAGTGAGCATAATCTTACATAAGCTTAGAAGAGGACTGAATTTTGAGTCAAAAACTTCATCCTAAAAATCACACTTGACCTCCACAGTTTTAAAGCCACAACCCCAGCATGCAAATCCAAAGTCAACTTTCTTACCACATACCAGCATGAGAACATATGGCTGCGTAGAAACGTGCTGGTAAGCAGAGGGAGATCCGACTTCTTTACTTTGCATTTTAAGGCATGAAAAAAGCACTGATTAAATGATGCATCCATTTGCTCTGCAGGAAAGAAAAGGACAAGTAAGCCGTGAGTAGTCTGGCTGTCAGAACACAGCACTCAGCTCTTTCGGGCTCTTTCAGGTGACACAGAATTCTCTCTACCCCATTCTCACAGTGAGCTGTCCTCCTAGATGGTGGCTATGGGCTTCGGCAAACCAAAGGGGCAGAGTTTGGTATGCAAAAATACCTTGTGGAGTCCTATTGTGTTTTTGCTGAACCTCTGTGTTGGCACCTTCAGCTGTGTCTGCAGCTCTGTTCTCATGGAGTTCCTCCGTTCCCGTCAGTACTGCACAACCGCCTCGCTCCTTCAGGCTCAAATCACCAACGTCCATGTGCTGCGTGCTGCAATGGGTCAGTGGAGAAGCTGATGACAGGCTCTTTCCCCTCTGTTTCTTCCTCATCCTCAGCACTCTCCTTTTCAGCAGAATCTGTCACCAAGGGAGCTAAGGTAGGAGGATAAGATTTGTCACCATATTCCCTATAAAAGGAAGAAAAAACGTAACATAGCTTTCTGTTTACTGCTTTGAAACCCACAGGACAATGAACAAGTGTCACCCTGATAAAAGGCAGTGGTAGTTGCATGGATCTTCTTCAACGTTCTCAGAACTATAAAACTTATTTTTAACTCATCTTTAACTCCATAAACTCTGTATGTTCCCCCCATGAATCTTCATTTAAAACTGAGCAGACTAGTTGAATCCAAAAGCAGAGCAACTGACTTATTTGGTTGAGACTGGCACGAGTGACTGTTTTTAAGCAAAAATGATTCAAATTCCGCTTTTTATAGAACAAGATTTTTCTAAAATCAGAGTAACATGTATGTTCTAGCTTCATTTCTATGATAATTACTCTCAGGCTGAAGGCACTGAATCAAGTGAATAATTTTATGTATCTATTTCCAATATTTATATAACGGATAGACGTCAGGACAGACACCTGCTTCTGTCAGAGAAGCGTGGTGATCAACAACACGCAGCTGAATCATTAATAATGATCATATCTAAACTGTACCCAAACAACCCAGTATGTTGAACTGACAGATTAATTTTACTGGGGCATCGATTTTGATTTTAGTAAACACATGAGACTTGTGACACATTTTACCAAGCGCCTGGCAATACACCTACCAGAGATGATCCATGTAAGTATGCAACACAGCAAAGCCCTTCCCCTTCATTCCAGCAGCCAGCATCTCCGCAGTGGACATAGTGGCAACTGCAACTGCTACTGGAGCTCTGGGAAAAGAAGAGTATTACAGCATGACAGCACAAGTACACTGTGCTACTTGGACAAAGACAGCCTGTGCCACTGAGCAGCTTTAGCACTGCTCTCTCTCTCTTGAGTTTCCTCATAGACAAAAAGACAACTGTGTAGAATACAGTCTTTCGTTAAAAAAATTACTCTGTTTCAGAATAAATCTACCAGTTGTGCCCCCATAGGTCCAAAAGAACCAATTTGCACAGCTGTCCACCTGAGCTCAAACATACCCTAACCTAGAAACTTGAGTGGATTTTTTTTCTGCTGTACTTTGTACATTGTTTAGGTCCACGGTGCCTCAAACGCACGAGAACAATTCTGCTTTTATCTCCTCAAACCCCTCAGAGTCTTCCTGTAAAAAATAACTTCATTTCATGTTTAGTTTCTTAGAAAATACATGAATAAAAGCATCCTCCGTACCTGTTTGGTCCCAAAGAGGGTGACAGCACAGAGCGTGCCCCGCTCTACTTGAGGAAAGCCAGAAGATGGCACTGCAACTCCTGGCAGCATCGGATCTGCAGAAAAGAATAAAGCACATCCATTTCTCAAGGAAAGCCTCATCCACCACCTCCTCCACCGCCATCCCTCCTGTTACTCAGCAAAAACACAGGCCTGTTAATAGCTGAGCACATGCCGGGTGAAACGTGATTGTCTGTTTCCCCTAGAGAAGCAGCACTTCCTGCTGCCATCCTCTGGAGCAAGGGATCCAATCCACAAGGGTGCTGGGCATACCCCCAAAACTGCAAAAGAGCTAA